CCTCCCGACACCTCCTCCTCCCAACTCCCTCCCGGCGCCGCTAAGTTTCTTCGCTCGACACGGCGCACTGACCCCGGGCCCGGCCCCGGCCCCGGCCCCGCGACCATGCTGTGCGGCCGCTGGAGGAGCCGCCACCGGCGGCGCGAGGAGCCCCCGGTGCCGGCCCAGGTCGCAGCGCCCGTCGCGCTCCCGTCTCCGCCCGCACCCCAGGACGGCGGCAACAAGAGGCCCGGGCTGCGGGCGCTGAAGAAGATGGGTCAGTGAGCGGCTGGGGCGGCTCGGGGTGGGCGCGGACGGGCCCCGGGGGCGCAGCCTGGGAGGGTTGGGGTGTTCCGGCGAGCCGTTGGTGGGCTTCCCAATGGGGCTGTGGGGAGTCCGGCGAGGGATGGAAGGCCAGCACCGTTCCAGCGGGGGAAGGGAGGTCGCACCTGGGGTCACCCGAGGTCCTGGGGTCCGAGCGAGGCTCCCAGGATGGCTTTTGTTTTCCACCAGGAGGCGCCCTACCTTCGGGTCAGAAAGCCAGAGTTGCCTTCTCAGATTTGAGGGAAGTCAGTGGGGGAAAGGAAAGTAACTGTGGTTTATCAAGCATCTCCCAGACACTGGCCAGCACTGGGTGGTTACAGATGTGGTGCCCTTCAATCTTCTTCACCTTCCTGAGAGGCAGGTGGTATAATCCCCATTTCACAGATGAGGAAACTGACTCAGAGAAAGTCAGGAATTTGTCTATGACCACACAGCTAATGGCAAAAGTTGGTATGTACCCCACACTGCCCCTGGCCCCCTCTCAGAACCAGGGTAAAGTGGGACTGACTGGGGGGTTGAGGGCTTGAACGAGGGCGTTTATGTGTGAGAGTATTTTATACAATGTAAAATACTGTAAAACTGAAGTGGTGTAGTAGAACTGTGGTCGGTAGAATAGTTAATGAGGTGGGGCTGAGGGAACAGAGGGCAGGGCTGCCCGAAGACCTGTGTGAATCTTGGAGCAAAAATCAGAGGTCCCGATAGCCGGTCTTACCTTCTCTTTACCACTGTCCTCCACCCCTTGTTCTTTTTTTGTTTTTAAGATTTAAAAGATTTTTTATTTATTTTATTTATTTATTTTTGGCTGCATTGGGTCTTCGTTGCTGTGCACAGGCTTTCTCTAGCTGCGGCAAGGGGAGCTTCTCTTTGTTGAGGTGCACGGGCTTCTCGTTGCAGTGGCTCCTCTTGTTGCGGAGCACGGGCGGAGCATGGGCTCTAGGCGCAGAGGCTTCAGTAGTTGTGGCTCGTGGACTCTAGAGCGCAGGCTCAGTAGTTGTAGTGCACGGATCCACGGCATGTGGGATTTTCCCAGACCAGGGCTCGAACCCGTGTCCCCGGCATCAGCAGGCGGATGCTCAGCCACCGTGCCACCAGGGAAGCCCCACCCCCTGTTCTTACTTCTGCCTGCTCTCATTCATTTGACCTGAATTTATTGAGTGCTGTGTTCTGAGCACCATGCCTGGCACTCTTCTTATGGAGACAGAAGATGTGGTCTCTGCCCTACCTTTCATCAATCACACATGCATTCCACAAACATTTATTGAGTGCCTATATTATGCTCTGCCCTGGGGATTCAGCAACGAACAAGGCAGACACGGTCCTGGCCCTCAGAGAGCTGAAGTACCAGCAAGGATGTCAGACAACGAAGCAAAGAAATAAGGCTATGAAAGAAGGACCAAGATGCTGGCGAGCCCTGGCTGCACCCTGGAGCTGGAGAGAGACTAGAGTGAGGCAAAAGGGGAGAGGCAGGTGGAGGCTGGGTCCTCAAGGCCCCTGCTTATAAGGTTATGGACTTTCTCTGGAGGGTCACAGGAGCCCGGGAAAGGTCTCAGGCCGGAGGAGAGAGGCAGTAATTGTGTAGAGTAGGGGTGGGTTGGACGAAGGCAGGGGTGAAACAAGGAGACCCACAGGAGGGAGGTTGAGGAGTCAGCTGGGCAAGCTGTGCGTGTGCGGGGGGGACGGGGAGCTCAGAAGTGGGCCGGTACAGCCGAGATGAATTCCAGAACTACAGGGAGATGCACTGGGCTGGACTTTGCAGTTGGTGGGATCTGGAAGGTGTCTCTAATGGGTGGCAGCGTCATCATCCTGTGGTCTAAGGGGCAGTGGTGGTTTGGGGAGAGGGCGATGGCCATGGGGAGTTGAGGTGCTGCTGAGATAGTCAAGGGCTGGTGTTGGGCCAGAGAAGCAGCCCCAGGAGTCAGCTGCCTGTGGGGGTTATGGGTACCAAGGGAGGGCTGAGGTGATGCTCCTGCACACCTGCCTGCCTCCTCATTCCATACACTTTTGCTAAGCCCCGTCCGCATGCCAGAGCGCAGCGTCAGGGCTGGGGCTATGGAGATGGAGGACACAGCACCTTGCCCTGGGGGAATGAACAGTCTAGTGCCAGGAGCCACTTGTAGACAAATAATTACAGCTGAGCCCAAGACTCATTACCCTTTGGCTGAGTAACGTTGAACGGGAGCTCCGGGCACCCTGTGACAGTGACACTCTTGGGAACTATGTGGGTGTCAGAATGCCATCTGGGCCACCCTCCCTCCCCCCTGACTGCTGCACCGTCCTGTTGAGTGACTGCCTTCAGAAAGAGGAATGTCAAGTCTGTGGGGAATGTCCCTTCCCCAGGCCTCACTGAGTCCAGGTGGAGGTGGAGGTGAAACCCAGGTGTCCTGGGGCCCAACTGCCCTGGCCATAAAGGCCAAGTCCTAGGTCTACCACCCAGGTAGCTTCCACGATGACCCCTGCAGCTGCTGCCTCTCCTGAAATGACCCTCAGGGCTGTGTCCTGTCACCGCCTTCGCCACACCCCTTAGTCTAACAGAGTACAGATTTTCTTTCTGATCAGGTCAAGAGACTAGAGCAGGGAGTGGCTCAGAGTCAAAGGTGAAGGGGGGGCCATACTGGGGGAAACCGAGATGGGGGGACGGACAGCAGCCCCCGCGTTGAGTGGGAGTCATTTGTGGAGCCTAGGGTCCACTCCGCTCCCATCCCCCACCCCCAGGCTGGGCTGCTGGCCTGGCCTGCGCCAGGGAAGCCAGGCAACAGTTGAAGAGCCAGAAGAGGAGCCCAGTGAGCACCGGGGCAGGGCTGAGCTCGCAGTAGCACAGATCCTACTTAATCCTCGGCCACCCCAGGGGAAGGTGCTGTCACTGTCCTCACAGATGAGAAGCTTGAGGTGTCACCGGCCCAAGGCTGGTGGACACGCTTGGTCACCGGCCCAAGGCTGCGCGGCTAAGAGGCAGCGTCTGTCTGCCACCAAAGCCATCGTTTTCAATGAGGGCTCTTTTTAATAAGAAACAGCGTTTCTTTTCTTTTTTTAAAAATTTATTTATTTATTTATTTATTTATTTTTGGCTGTGTTGGGTCTTCGTTTCTGTGTGAGGGCTTTCTCCAGTTGCGGCGAGCGGGGGCCACTCTTCATCGCTGTGCGCGGGCCTCTCACTATCGCGGCCTCTCTTGTTGGGAGCACAGGCTCCAGACGTGCAGGCTCAGTAGTTGTGGCTCACGGGCCTAGTTGCTCCGCGGCATGTGGGATCTTCCCAGACCAGGGCTCGAACCCATGTCCCCTGAGTCGTCAGGCAGATTCTCAACCACTGCGCCACCAGGGAAGCCCTCGATGAGGGCTCTTTATTGCTGGAATTAATGAATACTAATTAACACCTTTATAACACTGTGCGAGCGCTTTTCTCTTATTAGCTCGTTTAATGTCACAACCTTATGAGGTAGGTGGGACCATTAGCCTCATTTTACAAGTGAGGAAACTGAGGTTCAGAGACTTGCCCCGGATTCCAAGCTGGGAAGCAGCTAAGAGAGGATTTGAACCCAGGAAGTCTGGCCGAGTCCAAGCTCCTAACAGGATGAATGAATGAGTGATTGAAGCCTGGTGGGGCGGGGCCTGCTACACCCCTCCCCCATAGTGGTTCTGCCAGCTGCCAGGGGTGTCCTCACAGGGCTGCCAAAAAACATCTATCAGTGTGTCACAAATTATGTAAATATTTGATACTAAAATATCATTATTTGTTCATCTGAAATTCACATTTAACTGGGCATCCTGAATTTTGTCTGGCAGCCCTATCTCCCCAGAGCCTGGAACTGTCCCTGTGCCCCCGATGCTCCACCCTGCCCCTAATCCTCCCTGTGAGCAGAGCGCTAAGTGGGCAGAATCTGTTGCTTTCCCTCCCCCGTCGGCACACACCGCCAAGTGCCGCAGGGCAAGTGGGCTCTCCCGATGGCCTGCCCAGGGCATCTTCTGCAGGGTGAGTGGGGCTGCCAGGGGCGAGGTTGGCAGGTGGGGCGGTCTTCAGAACAGTCCCCGGTCTGGGTGGGTGCCTGGCCTGGGTGGTGGGAGGGGTGGGCAGCCCTCCTGGTCACGCCGGCGTGTGCCAGGCAGGCCTGGGGGGCTGGCTCTGCCCTGCATCCTGGCCCCCCTCACCTCTCCTCCTTCCTCAGCTCTGAGGAGCCCCGCTCCACGATCTCAGCCCCCAAACAGGCTTCACGCCTGGTCTGGCCCTGCAGAGAAGAGTGCTGCCACCTTTATCGCACTGTGTCCACCCAGAGCAGGGGAAGCACCACCTGCCTTTCTTGACTTTGTTGATGCTTCAAGGAATGTTATGGATTCCGGCACTGAGCTCCGCTAGGCTCTAGCCTTGGGTGTGGCAGCCAGTCAGGGCGAGGGGGACACGCTTGGTACCCGAGGTGCTGAGGCTACCTGCTGGCTTGAGGATTCCGGTGGGAAGGTGTTTGAGACCCCTCGCCGTTGCCTGTCCCCTCCCAGAGCCTCATGGCCTCAGTCACCGGGGAAAAGCTGCTCTTCCTCCCCTCCCCCCGTTGGCATGAAGCTGTCGGCTGTCGCTGTTCCCTGCATGTCTCACATTCCTACTGGAGTCCCGTGGGCCCTTCCTGAGTGTGCACTGGCACACACACACACACACCTTAGTTTCCATGCCAAGCTGACCACCTCCCACCCACCAACCCCATACACACACACACACACACACACACACACACACACACACCTGATATGCACACACCACCCTACACACACCTTCACTCCTTAACACACCCTGCTCTCTGCATACACGCCCTGTGACCACACAGCACTCCCACCCCTGCCACCAGCCCACTCTGGCCTCTGCCCACCCCCTACACGGCCCCTGCATCCACCCCTGCCTTGGGCCACCCACACTGTTTTCAGCATACACAGCTAGTCCTCTCTGATCATCAGTGGCCCATCTGTGAGAAAGGTGGGATTGAAGGGCCAGGGATAAACTTGGCCTCCCCACAGCCCCTTGCAGCTCTGCCAGTGAGGCAGATTCCTGCCCGCAGCCTTGGCCCCAGACCACACACAGCCCAAACCAGGCTGCAGGTGGTTACTGGGAAACTGTGGGGCTGCCCATTCCTCACCACCTCTCGGCCCCTCTCTGGGGGCTGAGATAAGCGGCTCAAGGAAGGTGTCTGGGCACCAGCTGATGACATGGAGCTGGGCTGGGCGGGAGAGGGGCCCAGCTGGAAGCCATGGGACTGAGGAGCAGGGATGGGGCAGAATACCCGGGTCCCTGCCCCCACCCCCGGCACTGCCTCGTTTTCCTTCTTTGTTATCATTTACTGTGAGCCCCCTGTGGGCGGGCCCCAGACAGAGAGCCCTATGTGCTCCTTCAGTCACACAGAGCCCTTTGGGTGAGGCCCCCCAACTCTCAACGCACTCCAGCTGCCCCGTGACCCTGGACAAGTTCGTTAGCTGCTCTGTGCCTCTTTAACAGCTTTATTGAGAATTAATTCACATCCCATACCATTCGGCCATTTAAAGTGTACAGTGGTTTCTGGCATATTACATTATTATTATTATTATTTTTTGACTGTGCTGTGTGGCATGCAGGATCTTAGTTCCTTCACCAGGGATCGAACCTGTGCCCCCTGCATTGAAAGCGCGGAGTCTTAACCACTGGACCACCAGCGAAGTCCCTTAATTTTTAAAAATTGTGGTAAAATATATATAACATAAAATTGGCCATGTACACCATTCTGAAGTGGGTAATTCAGTGGCATTAACTACATTCACAATATTGTGCTATTTCTAAAACTTTTCCATCACCCTAAGCAGAAACTCTGTAACCATTAGGACATAATTCACCATTCTTCCCTTTCCCCAGCCCCCGGTAACCTCTAAGTTACTTTCTGTCTCTGAATTTTTTTAAGTTGAGGTATAAGTGATATAAAATCTGTTTCTATGAATTTGACTGTTCTAGGTATCTCATGTAAATGGAATCGTACATTTGTCCTTTTGGGTCTGGCTTATTTCCCTTAGCATAATGTTTTCATCTTTTTTTTTTTTTTTTTTTTTTTTTTTTTGCGGTACGTGGGCCTCTCACTGCTGTGGCCTCTCCCACTGCGGAGCACAGGTTCCGGACGCGCAGGCTCAGCGGCCATGGCTCACGGGCCCAGCCGCTCCGCGGCATGTGGGATCTTCCCAGACCGGGGCACGAACCCGCGTCCCCTGCATCGGCAGGCGGACTCTCAACCACTGCGCCACCAGGGAAGCCCGCATAATGTTTTCACGGTTCATCCGTGTTGTAGCAGAGATCAGATTTCACTCCTCTTTATGGCTGAATAATATCCCACTGTATGTATAGACCACATTTTGCTTATTCATTCATTTGTTGATGGACACTTGGGTTGTTTCCACCTTTTGGTACTGTTTGTCCTCATTTTTGCTACTGTTATTTCGTGATTGTTCCCCCACCTGCTCGGTTGAGGTAGCCATGGTGCTGGCTCAGCCCAGCTCCAGGTTCAAGGCAGAGATGGATAGATAGAGAATCCACAGAAACCACAGGAGGCAGGCAGCTTACACTCCTGCTCCAAGCAGGTAGGAATGAGGTCGAGGAAACATCTGTGGGTTTGGATCTGGTGGGACCGAATAATGTTTACTGGGTGGCTAGGCAGAGGGCCAGGCCCCTCTCAGTATCACTGCCCAGGGCCTGGGCCTGCCTCCTGACCTCACGCCCTTACCTCCCTTGGTCCTGCCCCTCCCATCTGACAGCTCAGCCCCCTCACTACCCTAGGGTTCAGAAGCTCAAGCAATGGAGAAACAGAGGCACCCACCCAGGGACTCAGCACCTGGCCCAGCCTAGCGCTTCCCCCTCATTCTGTGTGGCTCTTCCTCTGGCGGTGTGGTTGGAGGACAGTGTGGTCCAAGGGGCAGTGTGATCCGGGGGGGTGGGGCCTGAGCTGGTTGGGTGGGCAGAATGGAATGTCACCCCTTCCCCCAGCAGGCTCCTGGGGAGCTGGGGGTGAGGGCCAGGAGTAGGGGCCTCCTCAGCGTGGGAACCTGTCCCAGTGGGGTGCTGGTCGGGAGCTCAGGCTGCCTTTCTCCATGTCCTGTTTGCAGCAGGCTCTGGACAAAAGAGGCCTTCAGTGACTCACCTCCATTTCCAGCCTTAGTCATGCACCAGCCCCCCCTCCTCCCCCCACCCCAACCTCTGGCCTTGGCATCACAGGGCTGGCCCAGTCAGGGGAGGTGGCTGCAGCTGCAGAACCTGGTTGTCATGGGGATGAGGAGTCCCCTTTCCCATAGCTGAGGGGGTGGTGGAGCGGCGGGCGGGCTCAGCCCTGGTGGCGCTGCAGGTGCTCCTGAATGCCCTGCCCCCCACTCTGTTGTTCCTCAGGATGAGAGAATGCAGAGGTTGCCTGGTTGTGGGGAACCTGTGGGGATAGGGGCCTGAGGGGCTGGTGAGTCTCTTGGCCTGGCACATGCCAAGTTCCAGCTCTTTACCTGGAAGAAGGAGGGTTTCACCTCCCCTTCCTGGCTAGGTGGCGCTGAGCGGGCATTGACCCTTCCAGAAGGCCACAGTCTAAACCCTGAGAGACCCCTTGGAGCCATTAGGGTCACAAATTGGCCCCAAGGGGGACCATAGCCTCTTAAGGATGGCAGGTTTCTCCTCCTGCCCCTGAGTCCACGATTCTCCATTATAGTCACTCTCAAAGTCGTAAGGTAGCTTTTTAAACATACAGATGTCCAACCCGCAACCTGTACCTGCTGGACGAGAATCTCTGGGTCATGGGTTTTGCAACCTCCACCAGGTGATTCTGATGCACAGCCAGAGTTGAGAAACCCTGACCCACAAGGCTGCTGTCCTGACATCTGGACAGATGGCTCAGGGCTGGGACTAGAATGCACTTAGTCCCCAGCTGTCTGTCCATCTGCCTCCCCTTTCAGAAAACACTGGCTGCAAGCCTGGCTCTGGGACAAGCACTGAGGTGAGGATATCCCAGTGCTTGGGCTTATTAAGGTCCACTGAAATTACAGTTTAGGTGGGGTGATTTAATTAAAGTAAAAAGTGTTGCTGGTGGTCAGGGAAGGAGAACTCCTATTTGAGGACAAATCAGGAAAGACTTCCTGGAGGAGGTGGTCCTTGAAGGACCCCAGTGTGAGGAAGAGATGGGAGAAGGATCCTACAAAGGCTCCTAGAGAGAGTGAGAGGAAGCCCCAGGAATTTAGACTTGATTCCTCAGGTCAGGGTTTGCAGCTGGGCAAGCAGGGTCCTTGGGGCCACAAAGCCTAAAGCCAACCCAGTACTGGGAGCTTGTTAAAATAAAGGGAGGAAGAGAGGCCCACTGTCTTGTTTCTTTTGGCCCAAACAGTGGTGTTTTGGGGTTTTTTGTTTCAATTTGATTTAATTGCCAACATTGAAAAATCTGGAGGCGTCACATATAAATCCAGATTCGGTTCTCTGGGAACTCTGGGCCTTCATCCACTCCTGGCTGCCTCCATCCTTCCAAAGGGTGTGGACCCTACAGTTTGTCTGGTTTCCACACGTTCTGTTGTCCCCTGGCTCATAAACCTTTGGTTTTGACCCCTGCTGAGGAAGATCTGAGCAAGGTGTGGCCCTACCAGGATGGGCAGCATCTTGACTGAATTTTGGATTTTGTAGCAGCTACTATTGTGGTCTCCATTTTATGAATGGTGAACATGAGGCTTAGAGCAGTCACAGGGTAGTGCCACCAAGGCCGTGTAACTGGGAAGTGACAGAGCTGGTATTTGACTCCTCGGACCCTGCTCTTTCCTAGGTCCTCAAGCCCAGGGTGGTTGCAGGGAGTTGGGGAGGGAGGAGGATAGAAGGAGCAGAGGGGTCAGTCAGTGTAGTGGCTAAGGGCGAAGGTGCTGGAGCCTGACCTCCAGGGTCTGAAGCCTGCCTCTGCCACTCCCCAGCCATGGAATTCTGGCAAGTTGCTGAAGCATCTCTGCACTTGTTTTCTCGTGTGTTAATACGCGAGTGGGGTCTGGCATGTAGTAGGTACTTTGTAAGCATTTTGTCTTATTAAGAAGGATGGACGCTGTGACCGGAGAGCACATGTGGGCTCAGGGGTTACACGGGGCTGTGACAGTGGCTGGGCAAGGGGGATACCAAGTGTCACAGGAGATCATGCTTTCAGCTGGGCCCCATCAGGGCATCTGGAGATCAGCCCCAGGCTGGCCAAGGCAGGACTGGGCCTGGCATGCTTGGTCTGAGACCCTGGAGCCAGAGTGACCTCTGCTGTCCTCCCTTGTCTTCGGGAAAGCAGAGGTGAGGAGCTTGGGTTGCAGCAAGAAAGATTTAGGTTAGATAGTGAGACTACCCTCTTGATGGTCAGGTTTTCGTGTCAAGGGAAAAGGCTGTTGATGGCAGATTCCAGGCTTGAAGGCTGGAGGCCGTGATGGAGGGGAGTGGCAGAAAGAGTGACCTTTTAGCAAGGCCTGAGTCCCAGGCGCTGCCTTGAGCTCTGCTCTGAGGGCCTCCAGAGGAGGCTGCTTGACAGGGGGGAGGGCAGGCCTGTTACTGGCACCCCTCCCAGGGGGGCCTGGGTGGGACACACCAAGCACAGGCCTTGGGGCCAAAAAGCCTATAGCCAAAGCCATTATTGGGGCCTATTACAGGGAGAGGAAGAGCCGCCTGGGAGAGTTTACAGAGGCGTGGGGAGGGAGGCCGCACCTCCCTGCTGGGAGGAGGGTGGAGGGAACCTGCAAGCAGGGCCGGCCAGGATGCCCATCGCCTCCCGCCCCCGCAGGCCTGACGGAGGATGAGGACGTGCGCGCCATGCTGCGGGGCTCCCGGCTCTGCAAGATCCGCTCGCGGACATGGCAAAAGGAGCGGCTGTACCGGCTGCAGGAGGACTGCCTGAGCGTGTGGTTCCAGCGGCGCATCCCGCGCGCGCCTTCGCAGCACATCTGTGAGCCGGGGCCCGGGCCGGCGCGGGCAGGCTGGGGACAGTGGAGGCCCGGCCCCGCCGCCCTGACCCGGCCGCGCGCGTCCCGTCCCTCTCCTCAGTCTTCGTGCAGCACATCGAGGCCGTCCGCGAGGGTCACCAGTCCGAGGGCCTGCGGCGCTTCGGGGGCGCCTTCGAGCCGGCGCGCTGCCTAACCATCGCCTTCAAGGGGCGTCGCAAGAACTTAGACCTGGCGGCGCCCACGGCCGAGGAGGCGCAGCGCTGGGTGCGCGGTCTGGCCAAGCTGCGCGCGCGCCTCGATGCCATGAGCCAGCGCGAGCGCCTCGACCAATATCCTCCCGGGAAAGGCAGCGGACCGCGCGGGGAGGGAGGCCGGCCGTGTGCCTGGAGGACCCTCAGGCCCAGGGGAGGCGTGGCTCCGCCCTTAGGGACTCGCGGTTTGAGATAGAGTCCCTTGTCTTAAGAACTGAGGTTGGTGACGGGGCATCCTGTCTCTGGGGAGCCCGGTCCTGTGGAGGACGTGTGGCTGGGGCACTTAGGGGGTCCACAGGCTGAGGGGAAAGCACAACCCCCAAACCCGGGAGCCCCCAGGGCGGGGGTGGGGGTATGCCATACCTGTCAGTTACCTGTCAGCAGGGGGCTGGGCCCAGCCTGTCTCTAGTATTTCCTGAGCACCCACACCTGGATCCACTTCTATCTGCATCGAGCGGACTCCAACCAGGACAGTAAGATGAGCTTCAAGGAGATCAAGAACCTGCTCCGCATGGTCAACGTGGACATGAACGACATGTACGCCTACGGCCTCTTCAAGGTGGGCATCTGCCACCATTCTGACCTCTGCTCTCTGCCTTCCTCCAGCCATCCGAGTCATCAGTTCCCTCCCCCCTTCCCACCCGCCAGCTTTTGTGGAGAGTGGCCTCTCTCTGCAGAAAGGCCACATCTGGGCCTAGGTACACTTTCAACCCAGTGAAGCCACTGGGCCAGGATGGGAGTGCTGGCCCAGAGCTCCTTTCCTCGCCCTCAGGCAGAGCCCAGGTAGGGAGGACCTCAGGCTCATGGGAACACACAGGAGCGCACTCCCCTCTACTGTGGCATGTGTGGCACCTCCACACGTGACCATGTACACCCCACATGTGGGAGCAGAGACAGGGGCCCACGGAGGTGGGCTGTGCATCCGTGGCCCAGTTGGATCACGTGGAGACACCCGTGTGGATGTTGACTGTGACCCCAAAAGACAGGAGGGCCACGGCACCAGTGCACCTGGGCCAATAGCACCACGTGAATTCTGTTATGTGTTGCTCATTGCCCCTGGGTGTGAACATGTGAGGCTGAGAACGGTAGCGTATACACACGGGAGGGGGGATTCTGGCACCGGGGCTCAGCCCTGCCCAGGGCTCACAGTTTTTCCTCCCACATCTTGATTCTTGGAGCAGGTCATGGGGCAGAGGAACAGGCAATGAACCCAAGAGTCCTTTCTTAGAATCCCAGCCCTGCGATTTAGCAGCTGTGTGAGTCTGAGTGAGACCCGGAGCCTAGCTAGCTTTCAGTTTCTCCACCTGTGAAACTGCGGACAATGCCTCCTTCCCAGACATGGTGGATGACGGGTGTGTCAGCGCAGGCCAGCTCTCCCAGGGTGTCCTCCTCCTCTGAATCGCTCCCTCCTGCTCTCCAGGAGTGTGACCGCTCCAACAATGAGTGGCTGGAGGGGCCTGAGATCGAGGAGTTTCTGCGACGGCTGCTGAAACGCCCCGAGCTGGAGGAGATCTTCCATCGGTACTCGGGCGAGGACCGGGTGTTGAGCACCCCCGAGCTGCTGGAGTTCCTGGAGGACCAGGGTGAGGATGGTGCCACACTGGCCCACGCCCAGCAGCTCATCCACACCTATGAGCTCAACGAGACAGGTGAGGGGTCTGACAGATGGGGCTGGGGCCAACACGGCCCAGGGCTCGGCATCTGACAGGTCCGGGCTCCCAGCTAAGTGGGCTCTGCTATTACAGGCTGTGGGCACCATCTTGGGCAGGTTACCTTGCCTCTCTGAGACTCAGCTGCCACATCTGTAAAATGGCATAGTAATGTACCGTCCTCACAGGGTTGGGTTGAAACTAAATGGCATAACTTGGGAGTCCCCTGGTGGCCTACTGGTTAGGATTCCAGCCTTTCACTGCCGTGGCCCGGGTTCAATCCCTGGTCGGGAAACAGATCCCGCAAGCTGCGAGGTGTGGCCAAAAAAAAAAAAGAAGGCATAACTTACGTGGAGTCCAGTCAGTAGACAGGTGCTCACTATTACTAAGTTGAATGAGCTTTGAGGCATTTTAGGGCCAGCCAGAGGGGTCCCCCGTGATGCTCTCTTCTGCCCATTCCTTCAGCCAAGCAGCACGAGCTGATGACTCTGGATGGCTTCATGCTGTACCTGCTGTCGCCTGAGGGGGCTGCCCTGAACCCGGCCCACACGCACGTGTTCCAGGACATGAACCAGCCCCTGGCCCATTACTTCATCTCCTCCTCCCATAATACCTACCTGACCGACTCTCAGATCGGTGGGCCCAGCAGCACCGAGGCCTATGTTAGGTACCATGGTGGTGGTGGGGGGGAGTGAGCGCGTCTGGGAGCCAGTTTGGGGGTGGACATGGGACTCAACTCCCGCCATGGGCTTCCTGGGGCCTACCTGGGGGCCTGTCCATTGCCCTGCTCTGGGCCACCCACATGACACCTTGCCCATCCATCCATCTCTCCGCAGAGCCTTTGCCCAGGGATGCCGCTGTGTGGAGCTTGACTGCTGGGAGGGGCCAGGAGGGGAGCCGGTCATCTACCATGGCCACACCCTCACCTCCAAGATCCTCTTCCGAGATGTGATCCAGGCAGTGCGTGACCACGCCTTCACGGTGAGCCCTGGGACCCCCACGCCCGGCCCCAGAGCCTTCCCCATGACATCAGCTGGCCTCGGTCCTTCCAGAAGAAACCCCTGGGACTTCTCTGGTGGTCCAGTGGTTAAGACGCTGTGCTTCCACTGCAGGGGGCACGGGTTCGATCCCTGGTCAGGGAACTAAGATCCTGCATGCCGCGTGCGGCATGGCCAAAAAAACCCCCCGAAACAAAAGAAACCCCTGCCCAGAGACTCACTTTCACCAAGTGCTGCTGGGACAACTGCCCAATGGGGTAGAATAAAGCTGGGTGAGAGGCTCCCTTCTCCCACCCTTATATTTAGTAAATGTATTAAAATCGTAAAATTTCCAGAAGAAAACCTTGTGGGTAGGGAAGGACCTTTTAATCATGACTCGCAAAGAGAAAATCGTGAAAAAGAGGCTCAGTGTTGCACCTACATAAAATTGCAACTTCTGTCGAGCTATGCAAACCTTACCATCAGCAAATGATGGGCTGGGACCAAAAGTGTGCAACCTAAACGACATGGTCAGTGTCATTAACAGATAAAGAGCATTTATAAAAGAAGAACATTCCTGCAGCCACCCTCAGCTCCCCAGACACTCCACCCCTTCCCCGAGGCCCCAGATCTGACCTCTGCCCCTCCACGTACGCACTGACCCCAGTGTGTCCCACATCCACGCACTCAGTCTCCCCCAGAGTGGGTTCTCCAGAGCCCTGCCTTTGCCTGCCTGGCCTGAAAGGGGTGGGGGGCCGGGCATAGCAGGGGTCCTGGTGGGGGAGGGGTCAGTGACTGAGCTGCTGCCCCTCCCTCCCACAGCTGTCTCCGTACCCCGTCATCCTGTCCCTCGAGAACCACTGTGGGCTGGAGCAGCAGGCTGCCATGGCCCGTCACCTCCACGCCATCCTAGGCGACATGCTGGTGACGCAGCTGCTGGACTCCCAGAACCCTGAAGAGCTGCCGTCCCCAGAGGTGATGCTCCCGGACCCCCAGCCTGGGTGGGGGGAGGGTCTGGCTCCGAGGTCCACCATCCACCTCCCTTGTTCAGGCCCCCTCCCCTCTCTCTGTCTTAACCTTCCTCCACTTCTCGGTTCATCTGACATCTGCCACCCTGTGGTCTTGTCACTTGTCTGCCTTCCATTTTGACTAGACACACCCCACCCTGTCACCTGGCATCGAAGGCCCTCTACGACCTGGCCCTGACCTCCCCGCTCTGCCTCCTGCCCATGGAGTCCCTGCAGGCTCGGCCATTCCCATCTCAAAGGCCTTGGTTGACACTGTCTCCACCTGAAGCTCCCTTCCTAGCCATCTGTGCTCGCCAAGCGCCACCTGCTTAGAGCTCTAGCTCAGCGTAAAGGGCCTCTTCCTGTGGCCTTAACAACTTCCTCAGCTCTCTGGCCAGAAGTGGTCCTTCCTTCTTTCCTCCCAACCCCCAGAGCATTTCATGCGCCCCTTCAGGACATTCATCCTTTTTGGGCTCTTCGAGAAAACGCTCCTCCTCCTCCCAGTCCCAAATTATGCAAGGAATGTAGATTCACCTTTGTGTGTGATTTGGATTTTTTTCGGTATGAAAATAACATACATATGGTAAAAGAAGAAATGGAGCCGCAGAAAACCATACACAATGAAACATGGGTTTTCCTCCACTCAGGTTCCCCCCGTCCTGTTTCTGAAGTTATCATCTTCAACAGTGTCTTGTGCATCCTTCCAGAACTTTCCCACGCATATGTATAGCTATGTACACAGCTATCTTCTCTTTCAAATGGTGCATGAAGGAGATCATGTGAACACTGCTACGTGC